TCTACCGTGGATAGCCCCTAATTTATTGGGGGCCATGGCACCCTACCTCTGCCCCGGCGATTCTTATTTGGCGTGTGGGTCACTGGATAGCAACATAATACCCTCTCCATACACTACGTCCTAATTACGTGCCCACCCATACTGGCTTTTTCCTCACGGTTCTAGAACCTTCTCTAACCGGTTTTTTTATTCTGCTTATTTGCGTGATTTTTTTTTCATAATTTTTTTTTATTTTCTTCTATTATTTTTCTTCTTTATTTTTCCTTTTAAATTCATGCACATTTTTTGAAAATTCTGATCCTTTTCAAACCTGCAAACAATTTTTGCAGTTCATGATCCATTTTTGAATTCACAAAATAAAAATCAAAGTTTGTGAAACACTTTTTGTATGCGGAATTTCTTTCTGAATTTGCAAACAACTACTGAATTTGCACATTCTTCAAAATTCGTGAATGTTTTTTGAATTCACTAACATTTTTTTCCAATCTAAGAACAATTTTCGAAATACGTGAACATTTTTTGCAAACTTGCGAACATTGTTTTGAAAGTTGTGAACATTGTTTAAACTCATGAGCATTTTTTGAAATTCATGGATTTTTTTGAATTAAAGAACATTTTGTGAATACATGATCATTTCTTCCACCAATATTTTTGGAGCTACAAACATATTTTGTATCGGTGAACAATTTAAGATTTTCCGAACCGTTTTTCAGAAAACAGGAATATTTTTAGAATTTGTGAACATGTTTTCTTTTTCACAAACATTTTTTGAATACATGACCATTTTTTTTCAAAATACACAATTTGTTTTGAAAATTGGAACTTTTTTAAATCCTGAATTGTTTTGAGGAATAAAAACTGAAAAGGAAAACAAAATGCATAAAGCAAAAAAAAATGATAAAACTGGTGCATCTCGCAAAGCACATAGACCGGCCCAGAAGGGCACCCCAGCTGTGCGCTTGCGCGTCACCCTGCGTGCTGTGCGTGAAATAGGAGCTCCCCTCTACCCCTGCATGTGGCTTCCTGGCTTTAGTTGTGGTTTTGTGGTTTCATGTCGTTTTCCAACGTGTGTTCCTATGGATTTCGTAGCGGTTCGAGTTTCACTCGAGCTATAAGCGTATTCTGAATGGGTTTTAGTGAGTTTCGATGTGTGTTCCTTATCCCATATATTCTCTAAAAATTCATCCCCACTATATGTAGTTCTTTCAACATGTAGTCTTTCACCTCACCCGGTGTGCCATGTTAGCATTCACTAGTACTATTTTTCCAGCCATACACCACATACACTATCTTTAATTCTAACAACATGCACTCTCCCACCTTACCAAGTCATGAATATGTGCCACATCATATTAGTCACATAATTATCCACATTATGCATCTTAGACAAACTCATGTCATTAGCATGCCATCTTATTCGTGTGGTATGAAAAAAGGGAAACACTTCCTATCATACGTCCGATAGGAAGCTTTTCATCAGACCACTTGTGCACCGTTGGTGCATCTTTAATCCCACGGTCGATGTATCACTTGACTTGTAATCATGTTAATTAACTGCCTAGTTTACACGCCTGGGCCTTAATCCCTCACCTGAGTTAATCTTGCATGCCAACCCAACCACCTCACCGGCTAACCCCATCTCATGCGAGTAAATCTCGCCTCCACGACCCATCCACCTCTAGCCATCTCGCATCCACACGGGCGAGTTCATCCCGGAGTCGCAAGCTCACTCGCCGTCCTAGTCGGCTAGTCTGCCACCATCCTGCTCCGCCCCTGCGCCCCGTCTGCTCCACTTCGCCTGTGGGGTGTCCCATCTGCGTCTACTATGGCCCAATATATCCAAACATTTATGGATCGACAGGGGCGGTTTCATCACAGGAGACTCCAGCCATTGACACGAATGACTGAATATTCGAGTAAGGTTGTGAATCAAAGAATTATTTGCAGTTTCTTATTCCAAATTTGATGTGGAGCACAAGTCTGGAAATAAAATCAATTGGTCCCCACATCATGATGTATAAATCTTCAAAGTTTTTTTTTGCTGCCTCCCGGATATCTTAAACCAATCTGTTATTGGATATTCTCTGTTCCCTTTCAATATCTTGAAACAATCTGCTATTGTAAATTTATTCATTTAGGCTGCATGTGTGGTCTAATTTTTTGTTATTGTGGGCTACATACTCTTCAATTAGATGATGTAATCGATTAGAAAATGGTATGTTTCATATGCATGCTAGTTTCCAAAATCAAAATTCTTGGCTTCCACTGTGTGTCATGTATGCCATCACAACACCAAATTCTTGCTTCGTTTTAATCATGCTTCTACCTTTTATGTCTCTCTTGTGCTTCTGTAACACTAAAATTATGGTTATAAGATTGTAACTGTTTTTATTTTACAAGCAGGTTGCTTCACCACTAACAGGGCGTGCTTCAACCACCAACAGGGCGTGCTTCAACCACCAACTATGTTGCTTCCTTGAATTGGATAATAAAACCGTTTGAAAAATGATATGCTTTCTATGCATGCCTGTTTGCAAAACCAAATTTTGTACTTTCATTGTGTGTGATATATGTTGTAACGACATGAAATTGATCTTTAGTGTCGACCATGCTTCCTAGTTGGATGTCTTGTGTATGTTTCTATAACACCGAAGTTGTGCAT